TGCATTTATTGACCAGTTATTATATTTATGGTTTATATGAACACTTTCAGCCAGGTGTATCAATCAGAGTATCAATGAATCGCAGAGGTAGGTATACCATAGCATTTTTTTTTTATGCTGTATTTATAGTTATGCACACTTTATTTTTCCATAGTCTACCCTTATATAATTAGGTATTGTCCATAATGACTAATAATTACTAATTACCAAGCCTAGGCATAAACGAGTTAAAAATTTAAAGTTAAGTTAATTTTTAACTTTTTAAAATTTAATTTTCGTTAACTTAATTTATAACTAAATATATTTTATATTTTTATTGATATAAACTTAATAAATAACGAGTTACTTTTAATCAGATCCAAGTTACTTAAATTTATAAATAATTAAATAATAAATATGATGAAATTATTATTGATGATGCATATTTCATGAACATTTACTTTTTATTATTTTAAACCTTGTTACTGGCTATTAATATATGGCTATTAATGCACTTTAAATATAAAACTTAACTTAAGTTGATAAGTTAATTTAAGTTTCAATATAACTTTTAACTCAACTGATTTAAAAAAAAATAGGATTCCTAACTTATAACTTTTTTAAATGTTTACTATTAACTTAACTCGATTAAAAATTATCACTAACCTAACCTGGCCAGACTTGCTAATTAGTAATTATTATTAATAATAGCTATAATAACATACCAATGTCCAATATATAATATTATGGTAGGTATTGTATAATATTATGTGCGTTTGAAGACATTGCGACCAAATGAAACTTGTGTTATACGCCATGACCCATGACTTTTATCGCAAAAGCCATTTCCAACTTTAATAATGTTTATGACACTGTTAACTTATTATACAAAGTATTGCCGGAGAGTCGGTGGACTCTTCCCTCCAAAAGATGATTACGCAGAAGAAAATGGTGTCAAAGAGAGAGACAGACCGACAGACAAACAGACAGTCAGAGGTGGCACGACACAATGGGATCAGGGACTTCCCACGAAACTACCGGCTCCCGTGCTGTAGGCCCAAAGGCTTTTACACTATAATATACCTATAAATTACGATCTAGAGGATTTGGCTCCATTTTCATTTAAACACAATCCGGGATCATGGGCTCGGAAATCCCTGTGTGCCCGCAGGATGTCCTGGCCCGTCTTAACGTCGAACAGCCCAAAATCCTTTTGTTACGCGTGAAACATATTACGTCGTTTGGTTTTCATTAGGATAATTGATTCACGAACGACCCGCGGCAGTGGCCTGCATAAGATGGATTAAATGAGTTCTACATAAGTATAAATCGTGGGTGTTACCAGATATAGGTAATAATGTAATATTATATTACTATATATACACTATAATATAATATTATGAAAAAACTGTTTTCGTGTGTGGGGAGTCGGATGACGGAGTGTATCGTATTTGGCGACCAAATGCGCCCGTTTCATATATATATACGCACGCATTTGCCCCCTCAAAAAGGACGCTCGACGTAGGTACCTACTTTAAAAAAATCAAAATCCGCCGTCGTCAAAGGAGAGTGACGGGGACATTAGGTACTACGTGTTATTATATTTTTGTCGAACACCCATCATGTCTATATAGATATAAAATACGTTGTATATCAATTACTCGCGTTGTCGGCTCAAATCATAACGCACAAAGGAGATTGATCAGACGAAAGTTTTATGAACGGCGCAGCGCCAAACATGGCACCCTCGCCAACAGCATTTTCTGCAGCGCTCCGCCGCCGCTCGGTCCCCACCTTAATTAACGTACAAAAGCCCCGCGGCCAGGGATGGGGGGGGGCGGGTGTCGGACGGGAGCCGTTGGCTTTTCACCTTTGTCCTAGATTACAACCGGCCCGACGAAATGCAATTTTAATAATGCGACAAACGAGCCGTTAACTCATTTGTCAACATTATATTATTTTCCACCTGTATTACTGTTATTTTTTTTCTTTGCTTTTAATTATTTTTATAGTATCTCATCGTTTCCTTCTTTATTCATCGTCACGCTATTATTGTTACTATTATTATTATTATTATTATTATTATAATTATTATGTGACCAATAATGTCTTTGAGGAGATAACTATATAAATTACTATGGTATTGCTTTCACGTTTCACTATTGTAATTGTCATTACTTACGAGTTTTTCTTTTTTTTTTTATATAATTGGGTACACTTGGGCTATAAAAAAATAATGATTTCATATTCGTTAAACACTACAATAGAAATTTATAAAATGATAACGTCTTGTTATTTAGGCACTATCATTGAACAAACTAAAAATTAAATTGGTTGTCATTTTGTTGATTTGTATAAGTGCATCAGTGCATGTATAGGTATCATTTATAAAAATATCTGCATTCACATGTATTTAATAATGTATACTTTAATAATTATATGTTTAGCCTTAGTAGCCAATGCCCAATTGAAATACATTTTCTTAAGGGAACTACAATTTACAAGTAATAATGTATTATTATCATTTATCAGGGCTTTATCATAGCATTTGCTTATTATTTTGGCTTAACAGAAAATCTAGCAGAGTGCTATGGAAACTCATGTCATGTTAAAATTATCTCAAGTATGAAATTTGAAATTACTTTATTTTGATTATTTTTAAACAAATTGCTTTTTTCGAGTTTTTCTGATTATTTTTGCTTTTTTCATATTTCTGCTTAATTATGACCGTGCCACTGACAAAAGTTTTAGTTAAGTTTATAATTTATTATACATAGTACATACTTACTTGTATTTTCATTTATTTTATAGTATTTAGGTACATGATTTATATTTATTTTAATGACAAATATGAATATATTTCTTCATTTTATAGGTACATATAATATATTGTAACGTATTGAAGCCTTGAAAGATGTAATTGTATTATTGTATAACAATAATAATATAATATAGGTAATATATTATATTGCTGTACCATAGATTATAGATATATGTATTCTTGGCGCGTCTGCGGGATGCAATTGTGTGCAATTGTGTAAATGCATTCCATGAATACTTTAGTATTACTTTAAATTTTCAATATTGGTTTTGCATCCCATGAAAAATATGTGAAATGACGCCACTGATGTATTCCATTTTTATATTGTATATAACCTGTACAAGTATCAGACAGGTAAATACGATAATGAATATAAAAATAATAGTGTTTACTGTTTATATGCATATTATGAATTCTTACGCTATGCATTGAAAGTTATTATTTAAGATATCCGCATTTTATAGTGCCTATGACACTGTGGTATTTAGTACTCATAGGCGTAATTTCGCTAAAATTCAGGGGGTGCAAAACTAATCAGGAAAGTTACAAACTTTCTACAAAATTGCAAAATAGGTACCGCTTGAACATTTATTTACTACTTTTTCAATACCAGTTCCTCGATCAAAATTCAAAATTGTATACACAATATAGTATTATCATTAATAATATGAAGTAAATACATTTTATTATATAAATTAAAATATTAGTAGACACTGTAATTTATTACATTGATATAATATTAATACATATTAATTAACAAAATTAAATTAAACTTAAGCATCTGCCATGTACAGTTGCTGCTGCATTGAACTCGTCGATTACAATTTATTTCAGAATCTATAACTCGATTTCTATCAATTTGTAAGTTGTAACATAGCTATATCAGACAGCCATTCTTGTCCCACAGTTGTTCTGAGGTAAGTTTTAAGCCTTCGTAATCAGGAAAAACTTCGTTTACAAGATGATAGTGTTTGTAGGTATTGTCATAAATAGTGTTAAAATTTCAGATAATAAAGGACACCTATTTTTAATTTCACCTTGTTTCATATAATCTAATTTGTTTTAAAATACACTATTATTTGAGTTAGTTTGTTTAGATTTGAATATTCTAATTAAGATTTTTAGTTCTATTTGAAGTTCATGATTATAAAACTTATAGGTGTTACTAATAATGTCTAATAACGTTAACATTATTTTATAAATATTTAAAAAATTGGCAAAATTATACATTATAAATATAGAAAATTTAGGGGGTGCAAAATGATAGTTTTGCACCCCCTCAACAATTCCAGGGGGTGCAAGTGCACCCCTTTGCACCCCCGAGATTACGCCTATGTTAGTACTGATTTAGTTACTGATACTATAATTTAGTCTGTAAGTTATTGTGGATATGAATTATCTTTTGTAATTTATTAATTGAAGGAAATTTACAAACCCATTATAGATTTAGTTTACTTAAAACTCAAGATTAATTTTTATGATACAGGTACCTTCCAAAGACATTTTTTCTTTGAACATGAATCGTGCGCTATTCTCGTTAATATTTCCATGAATTCATTTTTAACAGTTATTGCAGTTCAACAATATTTTAACAACAATTATTGAGATATTATAATTCATAACATACCTATTAGGTATATTATAATAGCGAAAAATGAAATAAAAAAAAAGTCTGTATTAATAACAGTAGGTATAAATTATAATGGTTTTAATGAAATTCCAAGCATTAATAATAATTATGTAAAAGTCAAAAGTGTAAAACTATATAATAATAAATGATTAAAACATATTTTGTAAAACAAAAAAAAAACCATTTTATATTATATAATTTAAAAATAATAATTATAAAATTACCCAAATTAAAAACTAATCATAACATTACATTTTACAAATATTTATTTTTTCTAGAATGATGAATATAAAATATAAAATACATATTTTCGTTTAAACCAGTAAATGCAGAATAAATTCTTGCATAAAAGTATAAAACCATAACAACAATAAAAATTTAAAAAAAATTGAAATAAAAACATTGTCACTAAATCATCACAGATCATAGACGTTCTCTAAACCTAGATATATAAATTATTATATACAAATACACAATAGTAGGTATAATATAATATAATACATAATATATTATGTAAGTAAATTGTGTAGTGTGTCATTCATACAACGAAGTAGGTACCTAAGCTTGATTTTATAATGACACTCTGGATCTGACTCTAAGTCGTAGCAAATAGTATGCAACTACTCTAGTAATCAGCAGAGTTATGAGCAACGCGTACACATCGTAGTTGAAGTGATCAGTGGTCATTGCAACTTCTTCCAAAAACTTTGTTGGATATTTGTAATGGCAATACAACGTGTAACATGGCAAAACGCCACGTTTATCATACATAGCGGCGACTAGTGCATCCAATCCGTATCTCAAGAATGATATTTCCGTTCCCCACTTTAATAGATATGGAATGTCACGGAGATTCACTCCAAAGCCACTGAACACCATCAACATAACGACGATAATGGGGCCAACGAAGTTACCGTTCTATATAAATTACATAACAAGTGAAATTCTTAATTTGTTTGTATAGATAATGCAATATTTTATTAAAATATTGATAAATTTATTATTATCATAATTAATCTATAATAATAAAATATATATACTATATAGCCATATAGGTACTACCGGCAAATAGAATAATATGAATTCTAATAAATGGGAATGTACACAAATTCTAGCGAATGATCGGGATAGAAAATATTATGATGATTGATTTATCATTAATAATAATAATTCTATATTTATGTTGGGGTAGGAACTGATTTTCTGAAATAAAGAATACGTTTTTTCATTATAAAGCTTAAGTAATTCCAAAATACTATCTATAGGCTATACCAGTGCCCAGTGGCGTATATAGAAATAAATTTGGGATGAGCTATAATAGATAGAAACTATAGCAAGTGATCTATTAATTAGAGGCTACTGTCTACTATATATTTAACAGTTTCTATAAATATATTCGTATTTGTTATTTTTCAACAGGCTATGAAATATTATATTTATAACTTATAATAGTACATAATAAAATATATTGTTGGTCTATTTAAAAAGACTGTAATTTCGGTGGGGGGGGGGTGCTGCAGCCCACTAGACCCACCCCTATATACACCACTGTAGGTACCACCTACACGGTAGGTATTATTTTAATTTTTTCACTTTGTTAAGTATATTGCATTTGAACACAATATAATGATATAATTTATATATAATTATATGTACTTATGAACCTTGCACAAAGCTGTTTTTATAGAGCTAAAATACTAAGCCCAATTGGCAATCGCATGATTACATCAATACATGAATAGATTAAGGTCACTAAAATATTGATAAGAACGTTCGTTTTTTCACTTACAATAACGCTGAACCAAGCGCCAATAATGAATCCCAAACTTTGAGAAATAAGAACCATCAACCAACAAATGAATGTAAACATGCTAAATCTATTCCATTCCAATGGTTGTCCTGTCATTAAATAAATGATCACGGAAAATATCACACAACCAATTGTCTAAAACAGAATAATTATAATAATTATTGCTTACAGTATAAAACAATTAAAAATTAATATTTTTTTACCGTAATTGGAATATCAAGTATGTTCGTAGCGATATAGTATGATTTTAATGAATACCATCTATTAAAATGTTCTTTTGTCAATATAGAGATTTCAGCAGGAACTTAAGGAACATAGTTAAATTTAAAAAATTACTTTTCGTTTAAATATTAATATAACATGTATTAAAAACTTACAGTTAATGATATTTAACATCAATGTTGATCCAACGTGATGCATGAGAAGGGAAAAAAGTAAATTATAGTTATCAAAAATTTTGCTGCCATCATCGCCAATTTGTAAAAATAGTGTACCTAATAATACACTTACTGTTATATTTACACCTATTCGTAGGTAAGTTAAATCCTAAAGAAAATAAATAATCCAATTACTCGTAATACATTAAATGTAGTAATTATTAAATTATTTTAAATTTTAAATAATTTATACTTACTATTTAGGTTTATTAAAACAAGCTTAAATTTAATCTACAGGTATATAGAAAACTATATCAATAGTAAAAGAAAATATAACATTATATATAAAGCTAGGTACCTAATACAAAATATTTAAATTTCAATCATATTATTAAACTTAATAAGTCTACATTTTTTAATAAATTAAAAATAATAATAATAATTTGTCCTGTATGTGTTATATTATTTAAAATCTTTAACAATAAATTGTTAGTAAATATAGTTTAACATACCGGATCTCTTTTGCATTTTAAAATTCCTCGATGTAACAAACATTTCAATTGGTTATAAGCAGAAGTTTCATGATCGATGTCTACCTCTTTTGATATTTTTTTAGGTGTACCTGTTTAATAGAAAACAATTGAATATTAAATATTTAACTAATAGTTATATTTCATGGTAAAGTAAATCATGTTTACGTTTTAAATTGTGTTTAATTGGAAAAATTAAAAATTAAAAATTAAAGACTTAGATTTGTAATATGTCCTCTTTAGTTCTTTTCTATTTTTATTTAAATACAGTATATAGATTAGGCTCGATTATTTTGTAATAACAAGAAAATAGTGTTCAATATACCCAAAGGTGCGTCATCGATGGCTAGCAAATCAGAAATTCCTGTCCATGTTAAACATTTTCCATTATCGATTTCTTTTGCCATTTTTACAATCTTGTCGTTTCCATGATCGCCGCAAGCCAATTCTATCACTGTGGCATACAGTTTATTTAGATAAATATGGGGAAAGTTTCATATTATTGTATACAATTATTTTACCGAAATCCGCTGGATTGTGATAGAGGGGACAGGGGAGTTCAAGTTTTGAGAGATAAGGTATCACATTTTCAGTAGATCCTTGGTACAAACATGTGCCTTGCGATAGAATATATACTTGGTCAAACATCTGGAATAGTGATGCACTAGGTTGATGAATTGTACATATTATAGTTCTTCCCTGGTGAGCTAATAATTTTAGAAGTGATATACATTGAGAACATGAAGAACTGTCTAAGCCTCTGTTTAACAAAAAGTAATAATAATCAGTGGTGATAGCAATATTGAAAATTGTTATTCTTACGTTGTTGGTTCATCTAGGAACATGACCATTGGATTGTTTATTAGTTCTAGAGCTATTGAAAGTCTTTTCTTTTGACCACCAGATAATCTCGCGGTTCTAGTGGCCTTACATTTGTCAAGACCCAATGTAGATAATATTTCGTTCACCTATATACAATAAAACTCTACTCATAATTTTGTAAATGTTTGTATTTTAAATCTTAAAAATATCTTACCACAGCGTCTTTATATTTTTGAGTCTTGTCCATAGAGAGCTTAAGATTCGCGGCAATGTGCATGTTTTCATTCACTGTTAACAACGGTTGCAAGCGATCATCTTGTTGGATATAGCAAGACAATCTTCGGAAACTATCCAAACGCCGTTCTTCGCCATTTACAGTAACGTTCCCTCGGACACCCTTTAAACTTAAAACAAAAACATAAATTTAAACGTGATTTTCTTTTGATTGGACGTTAAATTTCATACTTATATCCGGATAGAACGTCCAAAAGTGAAGATTTACCCGCTCCCGAAGGTCCCATAATAGCAACCAATTGATTTGGGGCAAAAATACCATTAATATTCTTAAGAACATCTTTAGTCCCTATAGATATAAGACAATAAATATAAAAATTATTTGCTCTAAAAATATTTACAGTAAAAGAAATTATTATTTTTTTTTTCGAACCGTTTAAACTAAACGGTGCTTTCAAAATGAGTTGTTGATGAACAAAATTTGAATAAAATTATATAATACTTTAGTATATAGTACAAGTATTTAATATTTAAATTTATTATGTATGAACACGAAAACAGTCAAAAATCAAAGTAATAGGTATATTAAATTTCCTCTTGATTTGAATAAACATCGGTCCCTACTATAATGCCAATACCTTCATAATAATAATACACGATTTCAAATTCGTACATATGTTCACAATGTTTTTATTAAGTGGAACATAGTATACTATTAAATTAAATCTAGATGTAATATAATATAAGTCTAATTCTTAATTTTGGAATTTCAGTAATACATTATGTATTTATGTAAATGAAAATGCTACAAGGAATTGTAATTAATATTTTAATTGGTTAGTATTACTTACTCTTCGTATACCTAATTTAATAATTTTATAATTAGTTGGAAATAATTCAAAAACAATAATATTATTTAGGTATAATTAATTATTATAACATAATTTGTATAGTTAACAAATTATGTTATGATTTATTTGAGTAAACAAAAATTAATATTAAAATGTAGGTAGTTTATAATATATATTATTTATGCGTTTATAATATTTATATAAACGTTCATAAACTGCAGTGCAACCTGTGATGATTCTACTATTTAATTCATTAAATTGTACTAAATATAAATGATTTGGGTGTATAAAAATGGCAAAATCAGTAAGTTATACATTTAATTAATATTTAAATTAGTCTCACCTTTTCCAAATCCAAGTGAGACTGTATAGAATAGATTTTTAAATCTCAGCTCGACTTGATCTTGTTTCCTGTCTTTGATGAACAGCCCCTTTGGCTCACATAGCCCGTTTGAATCATCCTTCGACTCCATAGACTCACAGCTAAAACATATAGGTACCTACAACGTAAATACAATGGCACATTTCACTCGAATTCGATAAAAAAAATAATTACAAAAAACAATTATATAAATATTGTCTTAATTTTTTAATGTTCTTTAACCAGTTTAAAATGTGTGGATAACCACGAACCTAATGTCGTCAAGGTATAAACATGCACAATGGACGGATATGTGATAATATACAAGTTGGGATCTCATATACGACGTGTCCCCCACTTGGCCGAAAAAATATTCGGTAGTGACAGCTGTTGGCGCGATAAAAGGGGTTTGAGATTCCTTTGAAATAACCTGGGCACGGACAATGAAATGCTTATCACGGGTCTGTATAAGGACACAAAATGCGGTTGGTTTTTGTTTAACCGTTTTTTTTTCTAATGTACAGAGTGTTTAAAATGAACATACCAAATACGATTTGTAATGTTTATCTTTTAACAGTAAATATACCCGATCTTCATACAACTGTTTATTATTTACAACTTCGTAATTATGTTTTCACATAATTTATTTTATGTGAATGATAGTTTCAAAACAAAATTATAAATTACGCAACTAAAAATACTTTTACTATCTGATTATTATATATTTCATGAAAGTAACTATATAGGTTACTAAAAAATTAATGTAAATTTAGTTTTTACAGAACAAAACTAAGTATTAAATTACCTACAGTTTAATTTCAAGGTCTATATAGGAATGATAAATGGTAATATATTATTATTATGTGTATTTATAGAATGTATGTAAGACATATATACTAGATACCAATCCAATTAAATTTGATGTTTCTTACGACTAAAGCTTGACTACCACAATATAGAGTATTTAAAAAAAATCTCTCTTCACATAACATTTTAAATGCTTGATTGAAAAATTAAAATAAGTTTTAACTAGTAACTACTTACCTATAATACAAAACTTATCATTGTACCTAAACACTCCCTTCTATAAGAGTCGTAATCATATTGATACAATTAAATGATTTAAGTTTTAGCTTAACTAAATGGATTACATAATAAAGATCTTTCGTTATTACGTCATCAATCTTAATTTTAATTTTAAAAAATATCGTTTATATTTTAATTGAATAATTTAATTAGTGCTGAAAAATTCGGGTAAGTGCAGCGGAGTGGAGAAAGTCAGTGGTGGTGAAAGTATGTCCATCGTCCCTTAGGTCTTCGAACAGGATAGTGTATTATTACAATATTCGATTTGAATGCAATGATTGCATTCGATAAAAAACGATTCTGAGCGGACGAAAGATAATATATGAATCATAAATAGGCATAATGAGTAACCATTAATTGCATATTATAATATACCGTAAGAGCGGGATACTTTGCTCCAAATATATTTCTTTTTTAGTTTGAACCTATACTATAGCTTCAATAACAAAGATAAAAATTACCTGTTCGCGTTGTTTTATATGTATAGATGTTAAGAGGTAAGAAAAATTCAAAAAAATCCGAATGTCGTACTAGTGACTTACTTATTCCCAAAAGTTTGGAGCAAAGTTAAAATACATTGCAGGTTACATTGCACAATGATTAAAATTACCTTACTTTAATGCATATAATAACTATTGGTGCAATGTTTAGTGCTTGTGTTTTAACTTATTTGAACCTATACTTAATATAATTTAATAATATATATTTTTTTTTTTTTTTAGTTGATTAAAAGTCTTTTTTCAATACATTTTAAATTAAATTTCAATCCCCTAGATTTTGGATAACTTTTCCGTTATGTATTTTTGTGTTTTTGAAAACCATTTTTTACATGATATAAATCTTGGAGGAAAACTCATAGATTCATGTCCGTAATGTTTGAAAAAATTAGTAATGTTAATAAGAATAATATAAAAAAAACTACAATCTCTGATCTCAAAATCGTAATGTGCTACGATTGATATCAATAAAAAATTTTTTTGGAGCAATGTTTAACCCCTGGAGTAAAGTATCCCGCTCTTACGGTACCTAGTGGGAATTAGATAATTATTAAACTTTTTTCGTTGCTATAGTGATAGACAAAGTGTTAAAAAAAAATAGCTTGGAAAAATAAATTTGGTGGTTTTTCCCTTGGCGTTAAAAAATTATTGAGAAAAAAAACGAAAAACGACCTCGCTAAAGTACCATCTTGATCCAATTTATTAAAAGATAAGATACCTTATGTTGAAATCGAAGCACTCCATCTAGTAGAAATGTTGTTCACAGAATAAAAAAAATAAAAATAAAACATCGTTGTAAAACCACTAGTTTCCTCACTCCGCTCAGAATCTAAAAAAAATGGAACAATCAGATAGGACAGGTATCTCTAACTAATCTGCTGTACAGTAGAAGTCGAGTGTATCTCGTAATTGAACAAGTCACTGTAGTGGGTGTGTTAAATTTTAATTCAATGATAAACCATTACATTTAAAAACGATTCTGAGTGGAGATGGTCAATCAGCCTATTATCACATACGTTTTTTATTAATTATTATATTAATTTATTTTACTATTTAAAGTAAAACGATATAAACTAAAAATAGGCAATACCATAAATTGCAGAAACTAAACTAAATGTTTTGAAAATGTTACTGTGTTTATAAAATATAATCAATGGTAAAAGTTTCAAATACCTATAAAAAATATTTTTGAATTTCAACAAATTAACCAAAATTGTTAATGAAAAAAAAATACCTATGTATCTTTAATATGCTTAAATGGCTATAATAAAAAAGAACCTTCTATTAAATTTTCACGCTTTTCGAACAAAACACAAACATTTTTATCGACATTTATAGAAAAAACTAAAAAAAAAATATAACATTAGGTAAATAAATGTTTATATTAAATAGCTTAAATATTTTAAAAATATTTTGAAAATACAGATATTCTAATATAAACATTTAGTGAAAATTTCAAATGTCTATCTAAGGTTCTTCGTTTTGTGTTACACCGAAAAATCAAAATCAATTTCCAAAACCTGGTTTTGAGTATAAACTTTTCCATTTTTACCTTTTAAAAGTACCAACTAGATCCAATTTGCTATTAGAAACCAAAGTAATAGTTTAAAATCGAAGCATTTTTTCTACTACTTTGCATGTACACAGACACAAAAATTAAAAACCACTCATCATTGTAAATTCAGTACCTATACATTCAAAGCCCCGGTCAAAATCTAAAAATCATCAGTACCTATACATACATTGAGTAATTTATTTTAAATTTAAAACAAATGCTAAGGCAGTTACATTATACCTAATCAGTAATCTTATACCAGTTATAAATATACACCAAAGTGGAAGATTTAAAAATTACAGTACAATGCTGAATGCGCCAATGCCTGATCAATGTGTAATTTATAATTTGAATAGTCGATGTAGGCAATTTTACAAGGGCCCTAACATTGAACACGAACACATCACCAATACAATTAAAACTAATATGAACAATTATTATAGAATAAAGGTTTTTAAATCATTATTGCTATTATATAATTACTAATTTTATTAATGTTTATTAATAGGATATTACTTTTATTTTATTCCCACAGCGGAATTGTCATTACATTTAGAAATTCATTACCTACCTCTACATTCAAAATTATTATTTTACAGCTTTTTTTAAATAAAGTTTGTAGTAACCCTGGCCGGTTTAAAATGTTAATTTTGCATCTCTTAATTGTGTTGGGGATGACTTGAATATCCTTTTGATCCGGACAAAACCAATTGCTACACCAATGCAGTCAATTACCTTGTGTATGTCGTCGTTTATTTCTGACACACCGTTCACTGTGGCCGATGACAACAAATAAATATAAAATATGTATAATAATCTAATACTAACATTTTTAAATTTTCAAATTTATTGTTTTGATTCAATTTGAAAAAATGAGTTGTTTGTGAACCTTTTCAAATTCTCTTTTGTACCAAAAATGATAGAAAATTCTGAGTAAAAATTGACAAACATATATCTACGTTTTTGAATCCAAACTAGGTATTTACTTGTGAATGTTTAATAACAATGCACAATACAACACTGCCGGAAAAAACTGGGCAACATTGTCCGGTAAATAGTTAATTTAAATTAATAATTTGTTTAGATTTTCTTATTTATCGACTAAAACGAAAAATATTCTGAATATAAATTGTATATTATAAGGCCCCAATTGTCCACATATCAGTAACATGTTAAGCATAGACACCTAGGGAGCTGTAATGCAAATTACAGTTCTTTCCCCGGTCCTCGATAATACGGAAAAAAAAGTAAGTATAGATACCTACTATATTATACATTCTACAGTTCATAAATAAGTATATGATGAAAATAATGAAAACGTAATTTATAATTTATATATACTGGAAATTCTTATTTATTACTATTAACAAAAACAAAAAAATACCTTCAACTCAAAACCAAATTAAACCATAGGTATGCTTAATATCAGACAAAACAAATTTAAATAGGTAGTGTTAAAAATCGTTCATTTTAAGAGGAGTATTAGGTATTAGGTAACCATCACGTAATTTTATATCTTTTCAAAGAAAGACAAACAATAAACTATACAAGGTTCAGTAAACAAAATAATAAATACAATCTGTTTATAGTATAGCAATAATTCAAATTGATCTGTAAAGTAAAAACCTACTCAAAAACAGTCGCTAAAGTTCTTAGTAATAATGTACTAAGCAAAATTACGTTATAGGTAGGTATACTACCATTTAATATATTATTGTATGACGTAGTTAGTTTTTATCAGAGAAAACAACTAAATTAAAATGTCATAACTACCTATATATAGTTAATAAATAATAAAGTACCTACCTACCTAATGAATTAAAATTTAGCACATTCTTGCCTGTGCAAAGCTTTTTATTATCATGCAATTTATTACCTATAAAATGTAATTAGGTATATTATTATTATACTGTTAGTCATCATAGACAATTTTTTTTATTCATGATACAGCATCAACTACTGGGTTAATAGCTT